TTGTCCCCTCCCACCCCACTGGTTTGAAGGCACTGAGCTGGCTACCATGGTGGCTAGGGGAGATGCTATCTCCCTCGCCTGGTATACAAGAGGTCTTGGGTTCGATCCCAACCATTACGCCTGCTGTATATTTAGAGTTTTCGTGTTTATTTCCCCGTGGTCGTGTGGATTTCTCCGCATCCTCCGGTTTAGAATCGGCTTCATGCCTTTAGGGTATTTAGCTGCTATAAGTTTCCACACGAGGACGATAATCCACTTGGTTGAGCTATCATTTGTGGCCAGGTCGCTTCTTAAACTGAAAAATAGCTTCGTAGCTCAGTGGACCTTACCTGGTAAAACAATTAAATTAAATATAAGAAGTATGGCACTCTGCTGCCCCACAGCGTGAACTCGGCCGACGGCAGCCGCCCATAGACTCCGCCTGGAGGCCGTGGAGTGCGGTAGAGGAGCTCCGACAGCCCCATCCAGAAGCTGTGCTGTTGACCTTGATGTGACGTGCGCAGGTGGTGTTACGGTCGGCGGTGGTGTTGGGGGGGTGCGTGTTGTGGTGTTTGTGTCGGTTTGATTTTGAGAATCGTCCCTTCTCGTGTTTTTCAGAAAACCAGCCCCACGAGGAACGTCAGAACGACTTGTTCGTGCATGGTGAGATCACGAGCTCCTCCGGTCCTCTCTCGTGTCGTCCACCAGAGCGGTTTCCACGTGCAGTATAGTCCGACGAGCCCCCTCTCGGTACACCCATGGGGTGCCGGGTGCCGGGTCCGCCAGCGCCGAGGCACTGCGCTCGACTCCCGGCAGCCGCTCGCGGTGAAACCGCGTTCTCGGATGCCGCGGGGTGGTGGTCACAGGCCGGCCGCCAGCGACTTGCGCTACCACCCCCACCGCACGCGGCCTGCCGCTCGCCTCCCTATGCTGGTTGCATCCGTTTACACTGCCGGGTTGGGCGGATCTAGGCAAAGGAATTTAATGAACTTCAAACCGGCACCGCCTCCGCATTGCGAGTCTAGCGTAGCGAGACCATCGGCCCCACTGGCAGCGTCTCCCCCTTACTCGAGTTTCGTTGCTTCATGTTTAGGGGGAGGGGGTGGGGGGGCGGTGAAGCGGCCCGGCGGTCACGCACTTTGCCGCCCGTTGCGGACGTCTTGTCGTGGATGATCTCCAGCGTGCTCTCCTGGCTGTGCGTATTAACCACAGAGCGCGATGCGCGCCGTCTGCTTTACGGTGGATGTTCAACATCCCCGGGCATAACTAGAAATAAACTCCTTAAAAAAATGTTTTTTTAAAACAACGGTTTTATTAGCAACTTTGTTTAACTCGCGGTCGAGAAGTACGTCAATGGCGCCTGAGACACGTGGCGCCTGCTTTTTGTGCGAGCTGATTCCACAGTTTAGGGACTGCGGCGTTTTTGACGTACACAAAAATATATAATAAGCCGTCCATAAAAAATTTGTAACTGCTTGAAAGGAGACAATTAATTGATTAATTGATGCCGATTTCCATACAGGCATGCATTGTCACCGGATCTGAGTATGTATCAAAAATTTGTAATTGATTGGACAACAAGAAGTAGACTAACTTTTGATTACAAGATTTGACCACGACAAACACAAGTGAAGTTAAATAAAACCGTTGAAAAAGGGAGGGGAGGTTAGGCCTTCATGTGCCGGCATCGCGGACCAAATTTTACAACTGACAGTGTGCATTGATAAAATTGGGATTGCGCAGAGCGACATCGCCCCCCCCCCCCCCCCACTACTGTGACGCCACCGCAGGCCGCGTCTGTACCACACAGCAGCACCCCCACCACGTGACGATCGCCCTGCACTATCGGGAGTACGAAACGAATATAAAATGCCAAACGCGCCGTACGCGTCCGCTTTCACCGTTGCGCGTGTGTGTTGACTCCTGGCACTTGTGCGGTCTCCCGGCGCTTCCCCACGACAGTGCTGGGCGTGCTTGTCGCTGTGCTGGCCTCGCTCATGGTGCTCGTGCTGCTCTTCCTGTGGATGCAACGCCTGCGCCAGCGGCAGACCCACCTCCCCGAGGTGTTCACGGTGGTGCGGCCCAACAACCCCAAGCAGGACGACACAGAGTACCTGATCCCCAACATCGCTTCCTGAGCGTGGTGCTGGTGGTGGCGGGTGGCGGCATCTCTCGTCAGCCACTCGACCGGCATCGCACCGTGGCGCTCTCCCCCTCTAAAGCAGGGACCGCCCTTCCGGTTCACGTGGAAACCCCCCCCACCCCCAACCAGTCACCATTTACTGAACCAAAAGAAACCCATCGCATCATTCTATTTGGTTGTATTGTGCACTTTATTTTGGGTAAATTGGTTAAGCTTGGAAAAGACTGGAATTAGAGAAACCCTGCTTTAAAACGCGCGTGTTGTTCTGAACGAGCTTGAGGTCCCCCCCCCCCCCCCTGTGCACAGCCCCCAATGGTAACAGAATCAGAATCTACATACTGGAGGAATCCGATGAGCTATAAAGCTCTTTTTCACTATGTCCAGTAGAGCGCAGGGTGCGACTAACCCCAGCCGCTGGGCGCTTCTCCCCTCGTGCCTTCTCACCAACACCACTATACCCGTCGCTCTATCCTGGCACATCCAGCGAGTTTTGTTACGGAACGGTAATTAATGAATATCAAGTCGTTTCGTTTTCAATGTTGATTGTGGCCTATATTGCTATATATAAACTGTTGATTTTTAATCGATTGAATTTTCACGGACAAACCTTTCTCATTTGTGGTATAATTGCAATAAAATATTTAGCTTATTTGGTACAAGGGATTTATTGTTTTGGTATTGAAGTTGATCCTAATGCACACCAAGATGGGTATAATCAGGTCTGTACGCGTCGCGTTTAAAATGATGCTGGAAAGATATTTGCACGAAAATGCTTTTTCTGGATACCACCAGGAGATGATGTTTGTAATGTCTTTCGCGCCGCGCTGCGTTTTCGCGTTGTGCCACGTGCCATTCGGCACGACATCCGACGTTTCGCTCCCGTGAGCTTGGGAGCTCCTTCAGGAACTGGAATTCGGAAAACTTCGGGACATCCGACCGAACGGCACGCAAGCTGCCGCGGTGCAATCCGAAAGCAAACCGGCACAAGCGGAATGTCCGGCACGTTTTAAAATGCGACTTACTCGCTAGCAATCACTGGTGTAGAAGAGGTGTGTTGAGGTATCGTTGTCGTCGCCCTTCAAGCAATGCATATCGATGCTCATTTTTAAAGCTTTTTGTAGAACCTTTATTGATGTTTTGGACCAAGGGCCTGCACCTTGTTTTGTATGTTTTCTAAGCGTATTTGGCAAGGGGGGAGAGCGCGAGAGAGAGGACAATGAATGTTATTGTTAAATTGAATTAAAACTTTCTGTTGGGTATCGAATAAGGATTTTATTAGCTGTCTTGGGTCGAGTATTTTCTACTTTCTTGTGCGTCAAATGTTTAATAAAGTTGGAATAAAAATGGGAACATGTGTGCCCGAGGCTGTGATCCATCCACGGCTGGATAAAGGCCTCCCCAAGATGCTGCCGTCTAACAATCTTGCGCTGCAATGATCCATCTCGCTCCCTGAATACGCACTCATTTAATCGCTCCATCTCATCGGCGGATGTACCTCTCGGACACGTTCCTTCCTTGGCCCGCCACTCCATTCTTATCCTTGAAGGGGCCATCGCCCCTTTAACACGAACCTTATCATTGAAGCTTACGGTATACTAAATGAGATTGAAAGATATTGTCGAAAATTAAACCTATAGGGAGAATCAAATGACAATCGAATACGATGGCATACGAAAGCCTGTGCACTTCAAATGAATCGGAATCTGTTCTGGACCTCCGACGTGGGCAGCATCATGCCCAGATGAACGCGTGGCAGCAGGGATTCAACGCCTGCGATGGAGAGGCACGGCGAAGAGGCTGGGTGCAGATGGTCCTCTCGAGTTGTGTGCCTGTGTGTAACAGGAACGGTGTTGCCTAACTCAGCGGTTTTAACAACAGCGTTACTGAATCTTCGACGTCCACTGAGCGAAGCGGACTGCGCGTTGTAGTACTAATGGTAAATGCGCACCGCAGTGTTAACCAGAGCGGTCCACCAGAGTCCGAGCTGCGAAACTCTAATAACAAGTGGTCCAGGTGTCGCCTCCACTTTTAGCCCTTTCCCATTCTGATGACGTACGTCATCAGTTTTTCCTTCCAATTCGGGCGAGTGACACAGTTTGGTGCCCAGCTGCTAGAGAGTGCGGTTGTGTCGCTCCAGTTCCCTGCGGTGAGTGATGCCTTTTTAAAAAAAACAGCGGCGTTTAATAACATTAACGCTAAACACGCGTCCCGAGATTCGGCGGCGAACGGGGCTCTATTTTGCAAACTTGCCGATTGCAATTATAAATACTGCAACACAACACTTTGAGTCGTGTTACGTTTGCACTGGCGGAATGAGTGAATTTAACGTCCACGAAGTAACGCAACGTCAAATTTCGATTTAAAGCTTTTGTGACTGCAGGGATTCATCTTCTTGGTTCTTTCGGTGAAGTCATCACGTAGAAGGGAATAATAAAAGAATAAAAATAAAACAATAAAATACAATTCTCACGACGTTTCGGTCACAACGCAAGCAGCCGTCCTCAGGTGAAGACAGCGTCTGAATGAGCTTGGTGGTGTTCATTCAGACGCTGTCTTTCCGACAGACCTGTTCTTCACCTGAGGACGGCTGCTTGCGTTGTGGCCGAAACGTCGTGACAATTGTATTTTATTATGTTTTTTATTATTTCCCTTCTACGTGACCCAAGAAAACGCAACGTCAGTGACGTATGAAGGCCACGTGACTCGCGCTGCACGTGCCCCCCCCCCCCCAGGTAAGATGGCGCCACCGTTCGCACGCCCGACCCCCGCCGCGTGGCGTAAGGGAGACCCCGCGATTGGCGCGATCCGGTCACGTGCTCCGGACGTGCCCGGAACTTCCTGTCACGTGCCGCCTTTCCCGCGACCGTTGAGCGCCAGAGTCAAACAGTGGAAGAGTCAAACACGGAGGGCGAGAGGCGAACACACGCGGGGAGAGCGTTAACACACTCAGGGAGAGAGTTTAACACACACGGGGAGAGAGTTAACACACGCGGGGAGAGAGTTGATACGGAGAGAGAGTTAACACACACGGAGGGTGAGAGGCGAACACACGCGGGGAGAGAGTTTAACACACTCAGGGAGAACGTTAACACACACGGGGAGAGAGTTTAACACACATGAGGAGAGAGTTAACACACTGAGAGAGAGTTTAACACACTCGGGGAGAGAGTTAACACAGACGGGGAGAGAGTTTAACACAGAGGGGGAGAGAGTAAACACACGCGAGGAGAGAGTTAACACACACGCGGGGAGAGAGTTAACACACACGGGGAGAGAGTTAACACACACGGGGAGAGAGTTTAACACACTCAGGGAGAGAGTTTAACACACGGAGAGAGAGTTTAACACACACGGGGAGAGAGTTAACACACTTCAGGGAGAGAGTGATTCGGTGACACGTCTGGCTCCGTGTCGCTCCCCCCGTGCGCGGTGTCTACAACAACAACAGCAGCAACAACAGCAGCGACAACAACAACAGCAGCAACAACAGCAGCGACAACAACAACAGCAGCGACAACAACAACAGCAGCAACAGCAGCTACAACAACAGCAGCTACAACAACAACAGCTACAACAACAAAAGCAGCAGCAACAGCTACAACAACAACAGCAGCTACAACAACAGGTACAACAACAACACCAACAGGTACAACAACATCAGCAAGTACAACAACATCAGGAGGTACAACGACAACAACAGGTACAACAAAAACAGCAGCGACAACAACAGCCACCACCCAACACACGTGTCAAGAGCACGGTGACGGGACCTTCAGCAGGGTCCACGTACTGTACTGTAATAGGCGACGTTTCGGGCAAATGCCCTACTGCAGGTGCGTTGGCGCACAGCTGACATCGGTTAACAACACCACTCGGATAATAACACCGGCATTAAAAGGCGAATCGTAGAACGGGCGACGTTTCGAGCAACGGCCCTTCTTCATGGCACATTGAAGAAAAGGCTGCTTCATCCTTTCTTCATTGCGTCTCCTGTCCCAACCTCGACACGGGTCTCCATAGCTGTCAACCCCTTATCAGCGGGGCCCTATCTTATTACAGACTAATTTAGACTGTATTGGTTACCAATACAACGTTCATCCTACAAAGTCTCATCACGAGGAGAGAAACACAAGCAAATAGATATTAAAAAAACACTTTTTGTGTTGCCCGTATTGAATGATCACTCCACTTAATCCTCCAGACTCCCATCACAAAAGCCTGAAAACTCTGCACACAGATTGTGTGAGTCACCACCTACTCCCATCACACTGTACATTTAGAAACGTGCATTGAGATTATTTAGCGTATTTTGCTGCTATAAATTTCCAGATTGCTTCTGAAAAATAAGCTCTTAGCTCAGTGGGCTTTACCTGGTAAGATAACAACATAGTTTCGTTTTATTTGTATATATTTTTAAAGTGATTTGTTTACTTTTTCTATACTTTGCACTCCTGCCGTGTTTTTGCTTCGTTGATTTGTTGTAACATTCTGACCCGCCCCCTACTGGGACATCTGTGGAAAAAGAGCTTTATAGCCCATCGGATTCCTCCTCCAGTGCAAATAAATATTCTGATTCCAAATGTTGCAGCTGCAGTCTAACGCAAATGCATGTTCTTGTTTCTCGCAGGCATTTGGGTGACCCTCTCGCATGGAGCCGGTTACGCGCGGCGATCATCCCACGGTGTCCGACTCGGCCCTCGTGAGGCGAGAACGCGAGAAGGATGCGAATGCCGAGCCGCCACCGCCGCATCGCAACGCCTCCGCCTGCCCGCCCACGTTCGCCAATCTCAAGACGTCCTTTCCTCTCGACGACACGAAGACGTTCGACTATCCTGGGATCGAGCCGACGCTCAACCAGACCAACATCCTCCGCGGCATGAAGGACAACGACATCGGAAGCTGCCTCTCGAGCACTGCCAACCATCACGTTGACACAACCGGCCCGGGTGAATATGTCACCTACGTGGCTTTGCCCCATGGCTCAAACGTCGCCGATAATATTCCTGGCCTGCATCGCGTCCCCAAGTCGGCCAGTGCCGACGCAGCCGATTACCTGGCCGTTATGCGCTCCGCCGATACGAATTACAAAGTTGTTCAAGCTCCGTACGGCGCTCGGGGCTATGTCACCGGCTACAACGCCGAACCCCTGAGAGCGATATCCAACGGCGCCGCCAGGGTGACGTGCGGTTTTCCCGGCGGGCAGCAGGTCGTTGCCGGTTTTCCGTTTGGTTTGCACCCGCACGGCACGAATCGCTTGGTCTTCCCGAACGCCTACGGCGCGAGCGTAGAGAACCGTGAGAACGTGCCGGCATACCCCGGGAGCGCCGGCTTCACCTCGCATGCCACCAGGGCGACCAGCATGCCGCCCTTTTCACATTACGAGCCGAAAGCGAGGGCGGCGGGTAGCGGCAGCCGGTCGTGCGACTTGGAGATGTGGCAAAGTCATCCGCTTCAGAGTGCCGGTCATCAGCTGTTGATGTACCCGAAGGTGAGAGTAACCGCGGTTGTGTGATCGCCTTCCCGCAGCCCTTACGTTGGTTCCTGTCGGTGATGAGTTTCACTGGGGGCAGAATTACGTTACTTTCAGAATCCAAAAGCGCAGAGGAGGCCCGGTGGCTCGGAGGTCAGAGCGCTGAGGTGGCACAGCTGAGACCCTCGGTCAACCCGGGTTCTCAAGCATCACGAGTTGATGGTCTCAACTTGGTCACCAATGACTGTTCAAAAGATACAAACTTTCATTACCTTTTATTTTACCAATATGTTGAACTTCTTTTGCACCATACGTAGTCAACTGTGATAACCGGAGTCATTACCTTTTGTTGTACATATGTATGTTGAAATTCATTCGCACCGTCCGTAGCCAAACCGTGCTAACCGAAGGTGTTAATCGGAGGTGTTCTGTACTTACTTGGCTAAATTCCAGCTCTGAGAATGAAAATACCATACAGCATTCGTTCGAGAGTCATGTGACGACCATTACTCTCATATGGCAGAGCTGGTTGGAAAGTGCTGCCCGCTATCGTGTGTGTTGAATAGAGGTCACTTGAAGGAGGGATCTCGGAGGTAGCTCTGTGATGTCTGCTTCCGTGGGCCGTTCTCTTAACATGAAGGGACACGCACCGCTGCGTGACAGATCCGAACGGGTTCTTGGTCTCGCGATGCCGCTGTCAGATAATCTGGATATGAATAAAACTGCACCAGTTTATGACAGAAAATGTGAGCGAATGTTGGCCTCATGGTGAACAGTCTGCATGTTGAAACGGTGTTTATCTGAGGGTGCATGCTCACAAGCATGCATACTACAGTAATTGTGAAAAGTACAACCGAGTGCTACTCTTTCGCATGGCGATGGTAGCAGCAGCGTGTTCGGGAGCTTAATGACAAAATTCGAAGCCTGCTGGCCACGAGAAGGCTTCAGGAGAGAGTTCCTGTAGGTTTGCTCCTCCGTTGAACAAGCGCAGACTACAGTTGGTTTTGTGTATGGTCCACAGTTTGGGCTGCATGGCCACAAGCGCACCGCTATTGGCTTGTCTTGAATTTTCCATTCGTGATGGAGACGTGCACATCGGTTTGTACATTTTCCGATGCGGTTGTTGATACCACTAGTGTCTTCGAGGAGGAACGTCAAAGCCAGGAGGTTAAACGATGTTTGTTTCTCGAACGAGGCGTTGATTCCGGACTCCCGCGTTCCACTCTGTTCTCTAGCGTTCTTCCGGATCTGGGCGAGATTCTGTGGGGGTTGGAAAAGCGCGATCCCAGACAGGGGAATTGGGGACTTGAGTAGAGCGGCGACGAGGTGACGTTGTTGAGGTGTCGGTTGGTGGCTGGGTTGTCGCCGGCAACAAAAGCATGGGATAAACTCCCTCGCAGTTTGCGTGAAATACCTCTCGTTGCTCTTTGTAGGATGACGAAGCGACTGCGGACCTCAAGAGAAAACTGGGCGCCGCGGAGCTGGAGGTCAGGACCCTCAGAGATTCCCTCCTGAAGGTCCAGAACGATCACTCGGCGCAGCTCAAGAAGATGGAGGAGAAGGTGCCGCGCGTTTACCGAAGAAACGTTTGCAGAGCGGTTTTAGTGGCGTCGGTTTTTTGTAAAGTTAACGCCCAGCAGGTTTTTTTGTTTTCAGCAGCCAGGGTTATTACGGTTGATTTATTTTGGGTTTTGCTGACTTCCTGGATTCTCGTTCTGATTCATTCAATCACTTTTTGACCATCGCACCCGCTTAGTCGTGCCTGAAGATGCTCCACGCAGCTTCAAGCGACACGCCGTATGCGATCGGCTGAATTTGGCTTTGAGAATTTCCATTCAACTCACCGGCGAGGGAAGCTTAAACTATAATAATTGCCGCGTTTTAAACACTCGTACACGTGACGCTTGATTCGTTTGACCGTGTCGGTAAAAAGGAGTTCCTAACGACACGAATGTGGTCAGAATATTACGTGGCCCTCACCTCCTTCTTGTCGTACGGCTGCTGACGTAGATGCAGAGGCAACGACTACAATTTCACATTCAGTCGGTCAAGCCACAGACAACGGCGTCAGCAGGAGCAGCGGAGTGTATCTTTAATGTAGTGGTTCTTAACTTTTACTGCAGCCTTGCACCCCTTTGGTTCTCATTCGTAAAAAAATATGTTAATAAATACATAGGGTTTGATTTAAAAAAGTTGTAACTTACGTGCCCATGCTTAATTTGTGTTTTGCTGATTTACCTTCTAAAAAAAATCTGGCCATGTCTCACACCCCCAGCAGGTGCAGCGTGCACTTCAGGTTAAGAACCACTGCTCTAATGTCTCCTTTGTATTTGTGGATCGAGTATTGCGTCATTATACGTTGTTACGGTCTGTGGTCTGTTGTGGATGACCGCAGTGGCCTGCGGTCATCCACAATCAATTATGAATCGATACCCAAATGCGCCCACAATGCAATTTGATCTGTTTTTCACTTGCAGGGCTCTTCGTGGCAAACGCTAAACCTCACTGATTTTCTGTGTGCAGCTTAGGCCTTGCTTGGCCCGTGTGAACAAGTGCATGTGCTCCCAACAGATTAAGAACAGAGACAAGCACATGGAGTCCCTGAAGAAGCGCTGCCAGAAGAGCACGGAGGAGCGTGACGAGAAGGAGCGGAAACTCCAGAGCATGGACAGATACCTCTCGGCGTTGCCCACCATGGAGGACCACCAGCGAGACCTTCAGCAGGTCAGCTGGACAATTAGTGATGTTTAAAACGATCAGAGCTATCGTCGTTTATTTGCTCGTTTACCGACGGAAACCTCGAAAGACTATTTCAGTCTTCGCAGCAGTAGAGGGATATGTTCGTGCCCTGTGCTATACCAATTGAGTCATTTTGTAGGTTTACTCTTCAGCATTGGGATATATCGGCCATACCAGTTACATTGTATGGGTTTGTATATATTTATATATATATATTTTTTTTTTTGCAAGCTATAACAGGAAATTCCAGAACCCGGAGGAAGCCCATTCAGAACAGGGGGAGAACGTGGAAACGGCACCTGGAAAGGCACTCGAACTTTGGATTCGAACCCAGGGCCCTTGCTCAGCGAGTTGATTCCTCTTCGCCGCCTCCACCCAGCCACTCAAAACTCCTCTCTAGGGGCAAACGGCAGAAGGGTTTTCGCGTGAAATGTACAGCCCTTTGACAATTCACTGCTGGATGAAGGCCGCCACACACCCATGGCACGGTCATACGTTGTTATTTGATCATATTTTATTACGCTGGTCGGGTGAATTAATGAGCAACGTGCTTAAATCCCCGTGCCTCTGTCCACCCTGCAGTATGTACGTTGAACTTCTTTCGCACCGTACGTAGCCAACCACGCTCATCGGAGGTGTCGTACGGGGGGGGCGAAGTGCGGGTAACTCCCCACCCCTTCCAAGCGTGGAAGAGTTGGCCAAAATACCCTCTGGAGGGAGCAATTTCTGCCAGCAGTGGCGTGAGCTAGCGCCTGCGTGGGCTAGCGCCTGCGTGGGCTAGCGCCTGCGTGGGCTGCGCTTGTGCCTGGAGAGAGAGAGGAGGGGGGTCACCGTGCGTCACCACGCGTCGGCGGCAGTGACGCAAAAGTCGCTCGCTCGGCTTGCGTCGGCGACGTTTTGAACGTGTCCCCCTCGGCGTTGCGTTCGTTTTCATCGCCAAACAGATGACGGAGCTGGAAACGTTGAGGTCGAGTTTGCAACACAGGGTGGAGGCCCTGGAGGGAAGGCTGCGCGACAGGGACCGCGAAATCCTGGACCGAAAAACCAAGGAGGAGGAGCTAGTGGCCGCAGTGCAAAGGTACGCGCCGCTCGGAGAGAGAGAGAGAGAGAGGACGTTTGTCCGTCCTCCACCGAGGAGGAGAGGAGCCACAACGGTCAGAAGTTGGCTCGGGCGCAGGCGCCGGGGTGGGTCGTTACGCCGCAGGATTGCGAAGGGGTGGTGCTGGCAGCGGCTTGGGAGAGGCCTTCCGTCAGGTAGCGGATTGACCATGGCTGATGTTGATTTCGTCTGGCAGAAAATAGTCCTCGCCCAAGCCCATTAATCAGCTGCTGGATGAGGGCCTCCCCATGAAGTGCGGTTCGTGGGGGGGTTATTTGACGATACTGCACCATGCCGGTCAGTACGGGTTGGTGAAGAGGGGTGGTGCGTAACGGTTTATTGACGAAGGTCTGTTGGCTATTACAGTTCTTTAAGTAACACGATGAGTGCTTTGTGCTTCACATGTGTGTTTTGCAAACCTGCAGCCTTCAGCACAAGCTGGACTCACTTGAGCAGTCAAAGAGTCCCCCGTCTGGAGTGGACGTGACGCAGCTACGGCAGGAGAACTGCAACTTAAAGAAGGTTCGTGTTCCCCATGTGCGTCACCTTCATGCGTCTCTCGCGTCGCCGACGCGATCGAAGCCTGCGGCCTGAGTCCGGGTCGGTTCCCGGGGCGACCGGTCACGTGACCGCATCTCCCGCGTAATCGCGCAGGTCAATCGTCGCCCGCAAACGCTTTGTCCACGTCCGAGCCAGCGGGGCGGCAAGGAAAGTAATCGGCCAATCGCAGCGCGCGCGAATGTGTCACATGACAACGCACAAGCGTCGCCGAGCGGATGGAGGCTTGACAGCAGAGTCTGTCTCCACTGTGAGCAGCGACCGGTTGCGTGCAACTGCTCGCAACCGGTTACAGAGACAGACGTCCACACATGAGCGGTTTAGTTGCGTCAACTGATTTGCATGCAACCAGCTGATGGCTCCGATGTTGGACCTGGCTCTTTCGCAAAAGGGTCGGTGCCGTCACGCGTGGTGTGGACATTCAGATGGAAGTACAACGTGAGTGCCACGTTCCCTGGCAGGAGATTGTCGCGTGTGACGGCTGTGTTTGCGATCGTCTTGGTTGTTTGTAAGTGAGTGAGAATGGAAAACGTTGGCAAAGGCTGGCCGCCTCCGACCACTCTCAGCTTTGTCGGAAGCTGAGCAGGATTTTGAGCCTGGATAGCGGGTGGATGGGTGCCCAACCTTGCGTCCGCTGCTGGGAGGCGACACTCTGTGGAGAGCGCTTCACTCCCTACAGCCCTCGCCTCTACAATCCCCCGCCAACGGCAAACCGCGACGACTTCCGTGGTGGAGTACGGCCCTCATCCAGCAGCGGATTGGCGGTGGCGCCGTGCGTACGCAACGTGCGGCCGCTGGCACCCGCGGCGCGTTGCGACTGCGTTGCCGTGGTGGCGGTGGATGCTGCTATGCGCTAACCCCGCCGCGTTTTGTTTGCCAGATCATAAACATTTTAAAGAAGAAGCTCGAAGCCCTCACCGAAGAGCATGGAGATAAAATCAGGGTGCGTGTTTTCCACCTCGTGGCTTTACCCTGCGGTGCGTGTGTTCAGAGTGCGTGTGTGTGTACTGTAGTTTGCTCACTAACAGCACTTGCCCCAACACTCTGTTAAGGCTATATGGGGGGATCTTTGTCTTTGCTTGTACTGGAGCGGTTAGCGCGCTGCGCTACAAACCCAGCGATCCGAGTTCGATTCCGGCTCACGGTCAATACCGGTGACGATTATGTGAACTGGTCCTGGGCCTCCCCTAGGTCGACTCAGCCTCAAATGAGTACCTGGTGCGGTGTGTAAACATCGCCACTGGGGAGATAAAGTTGACTGGGCGTGGTGCTGGCCACCCACCTCCTCGTGTGCCGTGCCGGCCTTCATAGGTGCTCACAAATAGCACTTGCCCCAACAGTCTTTTTCAGGCTATATGGGGGATCTTTGGGTTTGTCTTTGTTCTGCAGTGGCATGCCAATGCTCGCGTTAACCGCAATGCTAATGGAGATAAAGCCAGGGTCTATAGAGGCGAGCGTTGGTGGATCACACACCTTATTGGAACTCCCTTGTTGGCATTGAGGTCGCCATCGCTAAAGAAGCTCCCGGCTCGTGGGGCGAAACGTTGGACATCGGCGGATGCTCAGTGACGGTCAACTTAACACGCAATGATTTCGCAGCCAATACGATTCATATTGCCCTTTGGGTTTAGGCTACAATGATCTGGTCAAATGTGGTTCGTAAGACCCTCCACCACACAACACGTATTAAATTGTCACGTGGTGCACAAGCGTTTAACAACGCAGCCGATTGTTATTGTTTTAGCTCCCCGACCGGTGATTTACGTAGTAATTCTCACGGCCACATTTAGCAATGGAGTATACGACGTTACGTCAAGCGTCATCAGGATAGAATCCAACAACTCGGAATAGCCATGTCACCTGACCCAGCTTTTTAAAATTGGTGCCATAATTTCACAAGAGCAACTTGTTTAACACGTAGGAACAACCAATCGGATTTAAGGCAGATATGAACCACTACGAATGAATGCATCCAAAGTTGTGTTGAGTGCGGCGGGTCACGTCGGCCCGACCAATAATTATTCACTGCTGTGGCCTTGTGCGTGCTCTCCAGCTCTTAGAAGAACAAGTGGTGCACGAGGAGGAGGAGAATGCGGCTCTAAGAGATGCGCTCGGGGAGAGAGACAGCGGCCTGCAGGCCCTGCAGAGCGCCGTCAAGGAGGTGCATGAAATTACAGCGTCGTGTCAGCGTGGCGTGATGTCAACGCGACGTCGCGCCGTCGTGTCGTTGTTGCGTCGTTGCATCGTGCCATTGTCATCTTTCCATTGTGCCATTATGCTATTGTTCCATCGTGTTATTGTTCCATCTTGTCATTTTCCATTGTGCCACCATTCCATTGTTCCATCGCGCTGTCGTGTCATCGTTCCATCTTGTCACCATATGATCCATCGTTCTATCATTCCTTTGTGGCGTCGGCCCAGCGTGACAGCGGTGTCATCGTCGCACGATCCTCTGCGCCTTGAAGCATCCGCAGGCCAGGTAGCCGCAGTGGTAGTCGAGATGGGAGGCCCTGTGATTACTGTTGTGTTGTTGTTGTTTTGCATCAAATTGCTTCACTTGCTCTCAATCCCTTTCATAATATTTCCACCGTGCTACGCTGGGTCAGTGAACTCACCGAGGCCAGCTGCAAGTCAAACAACTGGGAGGGTCTCTCTGCTCAGTAGTTGGGGTGTTCGTTCATCCCCGCTGGCAGTCCTGTTCCAGTGAATAAATATCACCTTTCTCCGCCACTGAGGGACAATGCCTTTGGAGATGCGTTGATTAATAATTATAGGTCTTTAGTGCATTTGGTATTTGTTTTGCTCATATAGCGCTGGGCTGCTACGAACGAATGCGCTGTGTTTCACAGATGGGTATCGTCGGCCAGAAAGAGGGCGATGTTGATATCTGGTGTTGCTACCTGATGTTGCTACCTGGTGTTTCACCGTTGAATAATTTGAAAGTGTTTTATTTATTTGGACCGGTGACGGCAGCACACGTGGCCTACTTCCCTCTTTATGATGTTCGTGTCTTTGATTTGTAACGAAATTTTGGATTAGGCCACGTTCATGTTCTGGGTCAGTTTTGTGTCGTTCAGACCCCTTGGCCACCCGACACGGCCAAACAAATGAAATGGGCGCGCGTGGTCAAAGAGTTTAACAACGCGCTAATTATTATTGATTTTGATTTGAATCTTGATTTGAAGCTTTCGTGACTGCAGCAATCCATACTCTTTGGTTCTTTCGGTAAAGTCACGTAGGCATAAAATTTAATAAATCACGACGTTTCGGGCGCAATACAAGCTCCCTCACGAGCCAGATTTAGCTCCGTTGAGATCGGTGGTCCTTAACTTGGGGTGCATGCACCCCCTGGTGGTGCCTAAAACACAAATTCAGCACAGGCACGTAAGTTACAACTACTTTGTTTAATCGAACCTATGTATTTATTAACATTATACACTTCTTACTGTTGAGAACCAAAGGGGTGCAGGCTGCAGTAAAGGTTCAGAAGAACTACTCGTTTAGATACAAGACGTTTCACTTGCCACTCCGCCCAAGCATCGTCAGGACAGCATCCAGGATTTCCGTTATGACTTCCTGATGTTTGGCCTAACCTCCAAAGGACTCAACAGCGAATCCTAGTCTTGGCTGAGAAAACCCACGTGGTTTTTGTCGTAGTCATTGTTGGTGGTGTTGTTGGTGTTGTCATTGTTGTTGTCGTCATTGTCGTCATCTCACGCGTGTGTGTTGTCAGCTCGCGGCTCAAAACCAGAAGCTGCTGGACGGGCACTTAAGCCTGAAGGAAGAGCTGCAGGAGACGATGGACGTGTCGCGCGATCACGATCGGCTGAGCCAAGTCGGCAGCGAACTCCAAGCGCAGCTGAGCCACTGCTTTGGCGAGCTGCGGTCGCTGTGCCGGGTGGTGTGCCAGCGAGTCCACGGGCACGATCCGAACCTGTCGCTGCTGCTCGGGATTCAGAGTGAGTGCCCGGAGGGAGCGTATGCAGCGGCGGGGTCCGTCCGTGTGTCCGTGTGTGTGGTGGTGGCTGGTCACCCACCCCCTTGTGTGCTGTGCTGGCCTTCATAGGTTGCTCGCTAACAGCACTTGCTCCTACAGTCTGTTCAGGCTATATGGAGGATCTTTGTCTTTTTTTGGTGGTGGCTGGTCACCCACCCCTTTCGTGTGCAGTGGTCGGCCTTTATAGGTGCTTGCTAAAAGCACTTGCTCCTACAGTCTGTTAAGGCTATACAGGGGATCTTTGTCTGTCTGTACCCGGGAGCGGAAGTGTAGGGGAGCGGTAGTGGTTAGCTGCGCTACAAAGCCGGCGACCCGAGTTCGATTCCTGCTCACAGCCAACACCGTTGACGATTATCTGAACCAGTCCTGGGCTTCCCCTAGGTCGACTGTGTATATACATCGCCACTGGGGAGACAAAAGCAGCCGGGCGTGGTGCTGGCCACCCACCCCTTCGTGTCCTGTGCCGGCCTTCATAGGTGCTCGCTAACAACACTTGCCCCAGCAGTTTGTTAAGGCTATACAGGAGGGGGTAGGAGGAGGGGTCTTGATGTCCCCAGGACCTGCGGAGTCGAGACGCTCGCGTTGAGCACCGGAGCTCTGCACCAGCGGCCGCTTCGGGGTGGCGGTTGCTCCGTGCCGGCGTGTGATGCCAGCGGCGGTGAACACGAAAACCGGAGATCTAGCCAAATGTAGACGGTTGTGCCAATATGGGAGGACTTCAGTCGAGGCGGCGTTTAGCTGGAGGTAGTTAGCCGGGCCTACTGTTGCACGCTGGGTGGGCCGGACGTCTCGGAAGAGGAGGGAGTATAGCCACACTTTAGCCCACCGAGATGCGACTTGCGGATCGGCTAACTGCGATGAACCCGTGCACACCGCGGGGTGGACAGAGGCGGCAGTGAGGGGGGGAGTTGGAGGCGGGGGGGTGGGGAGATTTAAGAAACTTGGCACCATTGTCTCAGCTGCCACGCCGGGAGATGGGATCGAACCGGTGACCTCCGAATTTCAAGCCCGGTGTTGGAACTCCGTTCCTCCGCTGTGGCAGCGCCCCCAGTTAGTCGTCGGTCCTGGCACTGGGGGGGGACCTCGTTACACGTGGCCATCGCGGTTTGCGATTGGCGGCTCCTCTTCATAGGGCGTGCGTGTTCTCTCACCCCCCCCTCCCAGGCCTCGCGCACGATGAGAGGGACGCCGGCGGCGACGGTGGCGGCGGCGGTGCCGACCGTCGCTCGGCGAGCTCCCCGCCCATGCCGCTCGCGTCCACGCTGGACGGTGTGCGGCAGCTGCGGCGCGAAGTGGACGAAGCGCGAGCCGTGCTCTCGGAGCGCTACGCCGAGGACGTGGGGGAGAACTGCGCCGTGCAGTAGGCGCCAACGCCGGTGCCACCATGCCGGTGCCACCATGCCGGTGCCACCATGCCGGTGACGACCGAAGGGGTGCTTTTAAGAACGTTTGGAGAAATTATCATTTGGATTAAAAAATATTGGGTTTCAGTCTTTGTTTGCACCTTATTTTAGTGATTTAATAATCCCCCGATTTGCTTATTAAGATTTCATCCTGCCCCGGTGGTAGCTCGGCGGTCAAGCGAGCCCGCTCGTCAGCGAAAGTTTGCGAGTTCGACTCCTGGTTGGGGGTCTGACGCAGCCCATCATCATCCCTCTGGGGTCATTAAAATGAGTACCACAATGTGGCGAAGTTAAGTGGATGCGTCCTCTGGATCAACATGGCCCCTGCCATAGGAGTGTGGAATTTCCACGGTCACTGACTCTACAGGGCAATAAGCAGGTGAGCACACCGGTGCTTGTTTGAGCAGCAGGAAGTCGCTGACTTTTGCATGACGTATTTAAGTAACTTGTTTTTGCAGCATGTCGACAATAAAGAAGTGCGTTTGTACGATTTTACACGGTGGCTGGAGTGCTGCAAAGTCACTCAATGCGTCTGCGACTCACAATTTGCCACCAATATTTGCGAACGGGCCCCAACCTTCTGTTGGCTGCGGACTGCCGTGCCCCGGGTTAATATGGTGACGGCGACGGCGCCATGTGCAGCTTAAGAATCGGAATGTTCATTGATACCGGACGGAATCCCATGAGCTATAGAGCTTTTTTCTAGACGACCAGTCGGGATGGGTCACTGACATCCTACCTTCTGCCCACGTCGCCCCTGTTGGCGCCATCCCAGCGGTCGGCGCGCTTGCGTTTGTGGCAGCCCCAGGGCCGTATTATCAAATAGGCCACAGGAGGTACTGCCTAGGGCCTACGGAAACTAAAGGGGCCTACGAAAACTCATTTTGCCCATGTTTTTTGTTGTTGAATGTGTGATCTGTGATGATGAACAACATCTTTTTAAAGCTGCGTCATCCAATGAAAATTTCGCTTAAATGTTTAGGCTTTCTTTTTTTCTTCAATTTTAAATTAAATCTGCTTGTCTGCGGGTCACAGCGCTCTCCCATCTAATTAGGGCACAGACTAAATAATGAACATAATCATCAGTGATGACGTCCAGTGGCTGGACGAAGTACCGCGTCAGAAACAAGCGGATTGACAGCGGCAGTACCAACTCTATAAAGTTTACACCATTGGAACCTCCTTTGCCAGTAGCAAAATATGATCATTGGTTTTTACCCTTTTATCTGGCAACAAAACCGACACCTTTTTTACAAGGAGTCATGTTTGCATTGACCACAATACCTGCGGTCGGAATGCAAACAAAAAACACAACTCTGATAATGTATGCACTGCAGGTATTGTGGTCAATACAAACATGACTCCTTGTAAAAAAAGGTGTCAGTTTTGTTGCCAGATAAAAGGGTAAAAGAACAATTATTATTATCTATAAAATGTATCACTGAAGGCCGACGAAGCAGAAGTGCCTCGGGCCGACAAGAACCTTCATCCGGCCCTGGTCCGCCTGGAGGTGTCTCTCCTGGTGGTCAGTCTAGCAGCAGCAGCTGCGGTGGGGGGGGTCCCCCCCCATCTCTCGCCGACTCGCAGCACCGAGAGCCCCAGCCATGGAAACTCCTCCGCTCTCTCCACGACTGCCCCGATCGCTTGTGGCGAGTTGACGCAAAATACCCAGGGAAGGTGCTTCATTTTTGGTAGGGCTGATGATAGCCCCCCCCGCTCCCCACCTCTTCATGGCACGCTTTAGGTTCACCCCAGGCATCGATCAGCCCTCCCACTGTATCTGTACCAGATGGAAATACCTCTGGTACGCCCATGGAAAGCTTCTGAAACTGCGCGGCCCGAAAAAGATGTTCAATAATGTAGGAGCCAGAGGACATCTGTTTGTACCCGAAGGTGAACAGGGAATGGCTGTTCTCTCCCAGATCACGCAGCTTTACCCGGGTCTGCCCACCATCGGCAACGTGAGCGTGGGTTGATGCGACGCGTATCTGGTAGCGGTACTTATTAATGGACTGACCACGTATCTGCGAAACGACGTAAATCGAAGTGTTATTGCAATTCAGAATCTGAATATTCATACTGGAGGAATCCGTTGAGCTGTAAAGCTCTTTCACAGACGTCCAGCAATTGAGTTGCAGGTGAAGGGGTCACCCCCCCCCCTTCACACCCTTCCAGAGCCCCCATTGGCCACTGTGGTGGCCATGAGGGTCACTGCTGGTTGGGATCGGCCTCCTCCCCAATGGGATGGCTCACAGCCACCACAGCGTTACCGACCGTCAAAGTAGGTTTTTTTGTTGTTGCCAAGTCGTTGCAATAACCCAGCGAAACAAACATCCGTCGCCTCCGAAGTTGTTTTAATTTGTGTATATACTCTGTAAATGTGGTGCAAAAAACTGAACCGTAGATTACAACCAAGCGGATAACACGAGAGAGACGATACAAGATTTGTCCAGCTGCAGCGGTGTCGGCACCAGTCGCCTCGACCGCCAGTTCTCTTCTTTTTCTTCTTCTAAATCGGCGACCTTTCCTCTTCACCGTCGCACCATGTTCTCATTTTTGTCTCGGCGTTTCTGTTTGTTCTGTCGACCTCGAAATGTCAAACACAACTTCACTTGCACAACTCTTAATAATAGATTCTCGCACGCACCGGTTCGTGGTGTACCCGCGAGCGGGAACCACTGCCATGTGGTTCCCACTCGCGGGTCCGTGGAATGGGCTCTGGGACCTGACGATGCCCCGTGTATGGTTACAGACGACGAGTGTAAATGTTTTGGGAGTTGTAAACGTATTTACACACGACAAATTACAACCGATACAATAAAAAACCTTTACACAATGTCACGTGTAAAAAAAACCATTCAAAATAACATTTTAAAAAAGAACAAATTGTATTCACTTTGTGACCTTATTTAAGAAAGACAACTTTTAAGCCCACGTGGTCACAAGCGGGGCATTGGAGCAGATAAGTGCAGACAGCATCAACATGGCAGGAGGGAGAGCCCTGTTCGTGAGCAGCAAGCAAGAGGGCATCCCTGGAGGGGCATGAAACGCCCCCCCCCCCCGTTCCTGACTGAAAATTGTCATTGACTGCGTCGCCGAAATGTTTGCTGGGTCGCGCCCGCTCGGAGTGGGTGGCACCCATGGCTCTTTAGTAGCCACGACTTTGGCAAACGGGTGGGGTATACTGGATGTGGCGTGTGCCCGGCTGAGTGCATCGCTGTGCGGTTGGTATTCCGTAGTGCAGGTGGCCATGAGCATCAATCGTCACGGTAGGAAGCATCGTGAGTCACGCCAAAGATGAACCTCAAGGCACTCAGAGTCCGTCCGTTTGGGGGGACAGGGGGAACACGAGAAATCTTCGGGTGGGGAGCGGTGGCGCAGTGATGAAACAAATAATAGGTTTTACCCTTTCTGGCAATGAAGCAGGTGTTAAGATGTTCCAACGCCAAATGGATACAGATTGCATGGCATCAAGTCCGCATTAACCACACAGTACCGGTACTTGTTGCAAAAACAAAACAAACATGCTCTGATAATAACACGATGTAACACAATTTTTGTTCCTGGGTAGTAAGTGTTATTTCCTAATTGCGTATGCCTAAAAAGTAATAAAAATGGCTATTATTCCCCACAAACTTTGCTTTTGTGACCAGGAGTGATATCTTGAAATGTACCTATTTTCAATGATAAAACGGGCGACTGTGTCTTTTCGTTAACAAGTCAGAAAAAACAACATGAATCAAAATTAACATGTATTTATACTAAAGTAATACAAAAATTACTTCAAAATATTTAGTAGTTTTTCGAGATTTACGATGATACTGTAAATCACTTTAACGAATCAGCCCCCAAATGTAGCCTTCCATCATGTTCTCGTTATATTGTCCTTGGTAGCGGCGTTCAAAGACCAGTATATTCTGGTGGAAGCGCTCGCCTTGCTCATCCGAGTACGCTGCCATGTTCTCCTTGAATTTATCAAGATGAGCATCAAGGATATGGACTTTGAGGGACATCCTATAGCCCCCATTGTGCCGTAGTTCTTCACCAGAGTTACAACCAGCTCCACAATTTTCGACCTTGTGATTGCCCAGGAAGCCACGAACCACTGCGACAAAACTGTTCCAAGCTGCTTTCTCCTTACTAGTGAGCTTCTTGGGGAATTCATTGCACTCCAGGATATTATTTGTCTGTGGTCCGATGAAGACACCGGCTTTGACCTTTGCCTGAGACAGCTTAACGAATAAGTATTGAAGGTACTTGAAGGCTGCCGACTCCTTATCTACAGCTCTGACAAATTATTTCAATAGGCCCAATTTGATGTGCAGTGGTGGCATCAGCACCTTCCAGGGGTCCACAAGTGGCTCCCACTTGACGTTGTTCCTCCCCAAAGAGAACTCGGTCCGCTGTGGCCAGTCCCGCCTGTGGTAGTGCATCTTGGTGTCCCTGCTGTCCCAAAGGCAAAGATAGCTGGGAATCTTGGTAAAACCGCCGTAAAGACCCATCAGGAATGCCACCATTTTGAAGTCTCCGATGACCTCCCAGCCGTACTCATCATATTTCAAGGCGTCCAGCAAGGTCTTGATGCTGTTGTAATCCTCTTTGAGGTGCACCGAGTGAGCCAGGTGAAGAGACGGGTACCTGTTACCATTATGGAGCAGCATGGCTTTGAGGCTCCTGGATGAGCTGTCAATGAAGAGGCGCCACTCATTCTGGTTACAGGCGATTCTAATTGCCTCGGACAGACTTGTCACATTGTGGCAGAAGACTGGTCACATTGTGGCAGAGCCCATCTTGACGGGTGAAGAAGCTGCAAAAAGGTTGGTGACGCTTCCTCTGATCTGCGACTTGCACACTTTCATCCAACAAGTTTCACTGCTTGAACCTACACGTCGAAAGCTCGGCATTGGACTTGGTGAGACCAAGATCTCTGATCAAGCCATTGAGGTCTTTTTGGTTGGGGTAGTATGGGTTTCTTTCCTCAGCCCCACCTCTGAAATTGTCATCTGGATCTACGTCTTCCCCACTCTCTGACTTGCTGCTCTCTGCTAAAGACGGCTGCTCTCGCTCCGGAGGAGTGGGTACGGAGAGCTCATGGCAGTCTGGCACCGGGGCGATGGATGAAGGAAGGTCCAGATAGTCCAGTCCGACGTCGTTTGGAAGGGTCCACCATGTAGAAGTAGCAGTTGCTTGAGTGGTCAGTGGATTCCCACCAAATTCTTGGGATAGCGAACTTCATGGCTCTCTTTTCCCCTCTGTACCATCCTATAAAAATACATTTCACCCATGACTAATGTGTAAAAGATTATCGCAACATTTTTCATATGATATATCTTTTCAATAACGTTGAAATTGTAAAACATTTGAAAATGTAAAACTTTTACAATTTAAATTTTGTTTTACAAATTTTCTAACGTAAAATTCCGTGCCACAATTGTCCATCTTACCTTCCAAAGTTTGTTTGCATTGCTCGCAGGTAAAATGAGGTTCCCAGGATTTGTCTTGATCCCCGACAGGCTTGCCGAAATATGTCTTGTAGGCCTCGCACATCTTAGCAGATGCTTCCACAGAGTACTTTTTCGCTCTTGTCTTGATAAATTGGCCGCAGAAATAACAGAATGTGTCTGCCGGATGCTTGCAGTCTCTTGATGCCATCTCAGAAAAATGCAGATATGTATCCACATAGGCAGCTGGAACTAAATTGAACTGGTGGGCTTAAGGCCCCTGTATTTATACCACTATTTATTTTACTGAAAAGTTCTAGATTGCTCTAGAAGTTACTCCATGTTTACTTGGCACTGAATCTATCTGGAATATTCTGGTAAAAAAGGTACATTTCTAAATATCACTGTCCTGGTCACAAAAGAAAAGTTTGCAGGGAATAATAGCCATTTTCTATACTTTTGAGGCATGAGCAATTAGAAAATAACACTTATTACCCAGGAACAGAAAATAAATAAATGTGTTACACATTGTCTTTGAAACTGATTGGTCTACAGCAGAAACGGCCTTCTTTTTGGCCAAGTTTCAATACCGGCGTTCGCCAAAACGCGATCAGCACAAAGGCAATGCACCTATCCAGAGCACGAATAGCTTCGGGTCGTGCAGTTATATCGATGGGTCCCTTTTTGCCGGAATAAAAATTACGAGAAAAAATGAAAAAAAACAATACTCTATAGGTGTTGAGATGTTAAAAGGTCATTTTGATCCTGGCAAGAAAGGTCCCATAGGTGGGGCAGCCACAGGGCACCACGAACCCGGTGACCTGCGTTCGACTCCCAGCCGCGACCAGCAATGGGTAGGGCGTGTGGGACCTGTGAACCCGTTTGGGGATGACAACCAGACTTGAATAAACCCACACTGACCAGCGTGGGGAAGTATGGTTCAACGATCCCTGTGACAGACTGTGTGGGGAGGTAAAAAACTATTCCTATATCTTGCTACTGGCAAAGGAGGTCTCATAATGTAAATGCTTACCCCGAGCTCTCAATACTCTGATGGTGCGATGTCTTTAAGTTGTATGCCTTTTGGTGTCATCTGGTCCAACACCATGTGAGACTAGGTTCTAAGAAAAGCTGTCTCGGGTGTGGACCAATCAATTTCAAGGACAGTGCATACATTATCAGAGTTGTCTTTTTGTTTGCATTTTTACCGCAAGTGTTGTGGTTAATGCAAACATGATCCCTTGTATAAAGGTGTCAGTTTTGTTGCCAGATAAAAGGGTAAAAAACTATTACTACTGTGTGGGGAGGCCTTCATCCGGCAGTGGATTGACAAAGGGGCGTAAATAATTATGATTGTTATTCTTCAATTTCAGACTGTTTGCAAATAAGATCTAACGGTGTGTGGTGTTAAGTTAAGACGACGTAACTGCGTAATAAACATTACATTCCATGTTAAATAACAATTCCTATGCTTATCCTATAAACAATGTTATTTTTTTTATTAAAGGGATCCCTTGGACATCTGCAAAATGCATTTATCCTACTTCGATGAAAAGTTTTTTTTAACATTTAAATATTTAATGTTTAGAAAGTTGTTGTTAAGCTTTGCAGTTGCTGATAATAGCAACAGCAGGAGCAATAAATGCCAATTGAAAATGCAAAGTACCGTGAACGTGACCACATGAAGCGTGCGGCTTACTGACAGCTGTGCACGATGTCTCAAGAGCAGAACATAATAATCCATAATACAGGTCGTTTTTTTGTGTTAGATCGCGTAAATATATAAATGTGCCATTAAACCCACCACCACCTGACACAGCCAATTAATGTAAACAGAACGTGCCAATTCGTTATAAGTACAGCACAACGGTCTGTTGTAGAGCAAAGCCACAACATTCATAATCCGAGTTCGACGTTTCACCAGTAATTACAACTAGCTTCATCAGGCAACAAGCCAAATTTGTGGGGAAATCCTCCTGTTTCGTTCCTGAAATAGAGGAAGATATGTGATGATTATCACTGGTGTGCCCTTCTTGCGCGAAGTGGGAAGAGGGGAGGATTCATGAATACATATAAACCTGCATTATGGATGATACTGGTCGCGAAAGCCTACGTGTTAAAAAGAAGATAATCACGTACGCATGTTGTATGCATGTTGAACTTCTCTCGCACCATAGGTAGCCAACCGTGCTAATCGAAGTTGCGGCGGAAGGACAAAGTAAACACGAAAAGTAGTTTTCAAGAAATGAGTTTGTCAATCTAAATGACGATGATTTAAAAGTGCATGAGCCCCAGCGGCTTCCTAAAATCGGACGGAAGAACGTTCCAGACGGCTGCAGAAGTGCATCTCAAAGTGCGCGATGCAGTCGCCATCTTTGTTCGATGGACTTCTTTTGCACCGTACGTAGCCATATGTGCTTATTTTTTTTTACTTTCAGCGGCGTCTTGTTCATAAGTGCACCGTAACAAGCCTGTGAAGTATTATTGCAGCCTTAGAGGATGGTTAGAAAATTGTCAAAAAATAAGTGCCTTTTTTTAAAAACAAGTGTCTGTTTTGACAAAGACTGGATTCGAGATCTGATTCTTAGATTGATCCGAGAACCGGGCCCAGAAAACAAGTCGTTGTTGTTGTTGGCGTTGCTTCCGCGCACTTTTCCACCCGAAAGCGACGCACCATTGGGGGGCGGCGCCGCCTTTGTTCGAGCGCGTGTTCTTCACCAATTTTAAGTTTCCCCCAAAAAAGAATGGTCCTCAACAATCCAATTGTCGGACAAAAAATAAAATCTGAAACGCTTGCGACGCATCCGAAGCGCCCGTCCCGTGGCAACGTGGCAAGTGGAGTCGGACGTCGTCGGCCTCCATGGATTGCAGTCTCGCCTCCCGAGAATCACTTCAAGTCCTGGGTGGTGGCCATGTTGGTGCGCAGGGGAAGGACGCCCTCCACCCACTCGCCGGGCCGAGACACCATCTCCTCGAAGAGGCGCTTCTCCTCCCCGCGCGAGTCCATCCACTCCACGAGCTGCCCGTAGCTCATGCCTGCCAAGCGTCGGCACAGGCGACAAGCGCACAACCACGCGGTCATCGCACGGTCATCGCGCGGCCATCGGCCGGCCACGCAGCCATCGGTATCGGTGGCTCGCGGGTGAACAGGGAAAGGCCCCGCTCAAGAGGCCTACTCCTCTCTTTCCATGCCGGTCGGACGTCTCTCGCGAGAGTACCCCCACACTACAGCCTAGAGCACGCGACCTGCCCGATCGGCTGCCACGTACCCACTGGGGAATTAGTCCCGTGCCCTTGCGGCAACTGCCGCATCAGGAGATGGAATTGAACCGGCGGAGTCCGGCGTGTTAACCGTAACACTGCTGTGGCCTTCACAGTTCTCAGTCCAGCTGGTCAGGGTCAGGTTTGTCGCTGGGTGTGGCAAAACCGCTTCCTCTGGTTACAGGTTCTGCAAAACAAACCAATTCTAACGACCCTAGCATCCGCCCAGGACACTGTAAACTTCAACCATAGGAGGCTAGAGTCGTCTTGGTGGTGGCTACGCGCGCCTGTCACCCAGCGCTGTGGAGGCGAGCGAGGGTTGGTAGATTGCGCAAACGTTGTGTCTGTGTTACGGATGATATGGATGTCTAATGTGTTGGTGAGTTGATTGGGTGGGGGAGAAGAACATTCACAGCAGGTGGCGACTTATTTAGGTGGCCCAGTAAGTTCTTGAGTAGGTCCAGGTGTGGCAGCACCTATTGTGGAGATGAGTATTTCAAGCGAGCTGCGAACAGAGCTAGAGGATAGAGGAAGGCAGCCTTGGAAGGGGCCTCTCTCCAGCAGCGCACCCTCGAAGTAAGGCGAGCGCCCCATGCTCTACCGTGCCCTGGTGGACTCCCTTTGTGGAGCGACGCCAACATCGGTAACCCGCTGGCTGCGCACGCCTGCCACCCAGCGCTGTGGAGGCAGGCGAGGGTTGGTGGATCGTGCAAACGTTGCGTCTGTGTGGGATGAAATGGCTCCTCTGGGCCGCTCCGATTTCCTCCCATTTACTTTACTTGGCCTCAAGCACCTTAATATACATGGTGCTTCAAAAAAATTGTAACACTTTGGAGAATTTGCAACAATACCACGAGAAATGTGCCTCCGGGCTCTGGAAACCACCTGGAGAAGATTCCAGGCAATGTGTTGACAATGATGGCGAACAAGTGGAGATTAACATTATTAACATTACATTTGTTATCACGTCACAGTGTATTATTATCCGTTCTTTTTCCATTACAAACAATAGTCCCATATAAGTGTTAACATTGTTTTGAAGCACCCTCTATAGAGAGGACCGCAGAGCTTGGGCAATTATTGATGCTGGATCACCGAGTGTGTCTGTGGGTCTGTGGTTGCCCCCCCCCCCTCTCTAGGATGTAAAACGAATGTCTTTAGAACTTCTCTGTGTTTAGTTTGTCGATCCTTCCCCCGCACCTCCAAAATATCACGGTTGCCTACGCACGGTGCGGAAGAGGCTCAGCATACACACATACGTAACAAGTGCGTCACAAGCAGACATTATTACTACTACAGTCAATCGTCGATTCATCTGGCGGCTTCGCTGGGTGGGGGTGCCGGATTTATATAAATATATAAATGTGCCGTTAAACCCGCCACCACCGGACACAGCCAATTAGTAAGGTATGTCACGTAAACAGAACGTGCCAAGTCGTTACTAGGTCAGCACACCGGTGTGTTGGAGAGCCAAGCCACAACACTTATAATCTGAGTACGACGTTTCGCCAGTAATTACAACTAGCTTCATCAGGCGACAGCCACATTTGTGGAAAGGTCCTCCTGTTTCGTTCCTTCGACTGTATTATTGCTATTTGCGAGCGTGACCCCCCCCCCCCCCCCTAAAAGGATGGGTGTGCGGGCGGGAGGGCGGGCCCTGCGCTCACCGGTTCCATTGCCGAGCCGCACGCCGCCCAGGAACTGGTTGGTGGAGAACCTTTCGTGGTCCCAGACGGTGAGCTCCACGCACGCCTGCAGCACGTCCTGGTTGCGGAAGCCGTCGTATACCATCGTGTGGTTGTACTCCGGGTTTATCGACTTGCGGATCACCCGCGTCTTCTGGCGGCTCTTCCGGCTCGTGTCCGGAAGGATGTAGCTGAACGTCGGGAAGAGAGAAAGAGCGAACGTTGGATGAAATTCTACTTTTTGTTGTGGTTGAATATTCGAAGCTTAAAAGCAACAAGTGAAAAATACGCGGCCGTCGTTGGGTCGGCAAATCGGGAGGCGAGGGGGTTGCCAGATGACCACACCAATGACGTGAAACTCCCCGTGAGGGTCTTAGGAGATTCCCAGACCCCTGGCTCAATAGGAGAAGGTGGCACGGCAAGCGGATGAATCGCCATCTGTTTCCATCTGTATGAATTTTCTTTGTTCTTTGGGTGCTCCGGTTTCTCTCGTCTTACAAAATTTGGATGCACGGTAGTGTGCCATTTGACGCGATAAACACGCTAAGAATATACAGCACAATTGTGTGTGGACACACGGCTGGGGCGGAGGGCTGGGGCGGGTGTGAGGGGGAGGGTGTAATGTCGGTGCACTAACCGGCCGTGTGCACGGCCGCTGCCCACGGTCGCGCATCGGGACTCACCACTTGACGAACGAGTCGACCCCCTGCGCTCGGTGGGGCAGCACGTTGTTGGCCTGCTTGATCCAGATGTGGATCTCGCCCGTGGGTGGACTCTGGCCACCTGTCGCCGAGGGAGGAACGGTTAAAAGTGAAGACGCCAGGAGGGCCCTGCAATTATCCCGGCTCGTGCCTCTGCTGGCCGGCAGAGGATATTTTTTGGGCCTAGTCTGCCACGCTGGTCAGTACCTTATTGGAAGAAGAGATGGGAGTACCCACACTTTACCTCATTACGCGCGTGCTGCCTGTCGACCTAACTGCAGTTAACCCATTTGTTTTGACACTGCTGGGTGGACAAAGGCGTTGGGGCAGGGGGGGGGGGGGAATTTAAGAAACTCGCCGCCGTTGTCTCGACTGCCACGCTGTGAGATGGGAGTAAAAGCAGTGCTGTTGACCGTTACGTGCCACGTGCATTTGAAAGGGAAGAGTGCCAAAGTTTGTTGTGGACATTGAAATCTCCAATAACAATTGAGTCAAATTTCGATTTAAAGCTTTCGTGACTGCAGGGATTCATCTTCTTGGTTCTTTCGGTAAAGTCACGTAGAAGGGAAGTAATAAAATAATAAAAATAAAACATAATAAAATAATTCTCACGACGTTTCGGCCACAACGCAAGCAGCCGTCCTCAGGTGAAGAACAGATGCCGCGACTCTAAGACCTGTTCTTCACCTGAGGACGGCTGCTTGCGTTGTGGCCGAAATGTCGTGAGAATTATTTTATTATGTTTTATTTTTATTATTTTATTATTGACGGTGAGCAGGCGAAAAAACAGCAAAGTGCGAGGGGTGATGATGTTGCCATTTGCAAGTGCTTTCATAGTACTTGGTCTCTACTTCGAACAAGCGGCAACACTGGAGAGGCGTCATCATCATCATCATCATCGTCGTCGTCGTCAGCCATGATCTATCCACTGCTGGACGAAGGCCTGCCCGAGCCGTCCGCCGCCTGGTGGTGCTGCTGTCGATTCCCCGTTGGAGCGGTTTCAGTGCGGGTCACGGATTGAGTGCTCACCGATAGAATTTGCTGGAATGAACTTGAGTCCAATGAGGATCTGGCCCCTGGTCTCTGCCGGCTCTGTGCTTGTGAAGTCCTGAAACGGACAAGGCAACCGTCACTGTTTAACACGTAGGCTTTGTAAATGTTGCAGTGGGTTTTGCTCTCCAAAATATAACCGGTTTAGTGCTGCACTAGGAACGAATCGGCAGGTTTTGTTAACGTGAGAAACCCTTACTAATTGGCTGTGTCGCGTGTGTGTTTAACGACACTTTTTTTTACGCGATCTAACCCAAAAACCTCTTGCGGGAACATCGCTCTGCTCACCGTCATCATCGAAGGAAGACAAAGATCCACTGTGCGGCCTAAAACGGACTGTTTGGGTCAAGTGCTGTTGAGGGAGCAGCCCCCATGAAGGGCCGAACCTCCGATGAGTACGGTTGGCTACGCAGGGCGCGAAAGAAGCTCAAGATACGTACTCACAAGGCTGGCGCGCCACACAAAGTGGTGGGTGGCCAGCACCACCACGCCTGGCCGCCTTTGTATCCCGAGTGGCAATGTTTACACACTTTACCAGGTACTCGGTTGAGGCGGAGCCGACCATCCTCATCAATGCCCTCTACATATTCATCTTACAAACCCTGGTTAGGGGAGGTGGGTTGACTCAGCCCACATCATCCCTCCAGGGCGAGGAAGATCAACAGTAGTTGTCCTGTGGGTAGGCTCAACCCCCCCCCTACCCACCATAGGAATGTGGAATTTCCATCACTGGCTCTGCAGCAGGGTTGTAAACGGGAGACGGACACCAATGCCTCGATGTGGCTCATTTGAATGGCAGGGCATCACCGACTCGACCTTTGACCATAGCGTGTGTGTGTGTGTGTATGTACGTTGAACTTCCTTCGCGCTGTACATAGTCAACCGTGCTAATTGGAGATGTGCAGGGAGGGGAAGGATGATAAACAAAATACAAAATGCAGTTCTAACATCGGGAAGGTAGAGCATTCCAGACGGCCGCGGAAGCACATCCGAAAGTGCTTGCGATGCGGTGACCATCTTTGTTCGGTGGTCAGCCAGATTCCACGGAGAGGATGAAATGCGCGCACAAAGCCGGAGAGCCGGATTTGTCTCGTGGTTGCGCACGCACGCGCACGCACGCGCGCGCGCGCGCATGCACGCGCGCGCATGCACGCACACACACCCGCGCCACTACGCCTCACCTTTGGCTGCAGTGTGTACCAGTTCATGACGTGGTTGGCCCAGTCCCAGCTGTTGAGGATGAGGTTGACCTCCCCCAGGAAGATGTTCCTGCCGAACGTGTCGTTGTGCCACACCGACAGGTTCAGCACCCGCTTCCTCAGCTCCGTTCTGTCCACCTTGTACTGGCGCGGGGTCACGCACAGTGGCAGTGGCGGCGGCAGCGGTAGCGGCAGGGTTACGTTGCTTGCCAGCTCCCATTTAGCAACGACGATGTCAACTTGTAACGCTGTGCCGCCGCCACACAGTGTCCGCTCGCTCTCGTAGAGAAAGAGGGGATGACTCAGAGGCGCCAGGAGGAGGAACCTCACCTACCCACCCATTCAGTCACCCCACCCACTCATTCACTCACTCACACACCCACTCATTCACTCACTCACACACCCACTCATTCACTCACTCACCCACTCACCCACCCACCCACCCACTCATTGACTCACCCACCCATAGACGAAGATGCAGCAGCAGCCACGCAGCGGGTTATCGGCCAATTCATATGGGAGGAAACCGAAGCACCCACAGAAACCCCAGACATGCGAGAGGGAAACACTCTCTCCCATACAGACAGAACAGGTGGAGTCCACACTTTCGCTGTGCTGCCTTCTCCTGGTGAACCAGGGGTACAGCTCCTCCTCGACGCACACGGGAAGGGAGTTTCACAACCCATCTGTGTGCGATCCACCAACCCTCACTGCTGCATGGACAGTGCTGGATCACAGGGCAAGTGCAGCAGCAGAGCCACCATCACCCGTAATCTCGAGATTACAAAATGCCTCAAAGTAAGACCACCCCCCACCCACGAAACGTACGCACAGTGTCAATAAAGTGACACAAATCTGGTCTCACGCACGCACACCAATACCCGCTACTAAGTGACTGACGTCACCACGGCACCTGTGCCAGGCCAGGTGCACTTTGAGGCCACGTGAAGTGTCCGAAGGCTCGCTGACAGAAGGTCTCGGGACAGACCTAGATGCCAAGGGTTGCCTAACTGTGATGACTGGTAGATGTACCAGCTGTACCCCGTACTGTGCCAATTTGCTGTATTTTATCCGCCCGGTGCTCCGCTCGTTGTTGTGAGCATCACTCCTCTGCTCTCCGTTGTTGCTGGAGGGCGACTGCCTCCAAATGCCTAGTAGCGTCCTTCACGAGTCTCCTCCACAGAGGCCAATGTTGACACCGCTGGAACCAGTCGTCGGCAAGTCCACTCAGCTCCACATCCTCCCGTACCACATCACTCTATATCGTGCCTGTTTAGCCCCCTCTATGCGGCTAAACAGAAGCTGCTTGGGCATGCGGTGGATGGTTATGCGAGCTACATGACCCAGCCAAAGGAGCTCACGGATGGGAATGTGTCCAGATTTTTCATAGGATTTGTAAGCTCCTCACACAATCCAGCGTGGTTAAACCCAGGATGCACTCACACACACACGCACGGACACATACACGCACACACATGCACACACACGCATGCACACACACGCATGCATGCACGCATGCACATGGCTATCGATTGTAAGACACATCCCAAACTTTTACGATAGAATACGGGGGGAAATGTGGATAATCTGGAGGATATGGTAATTTGTGGTGGTGGTAGAGGTGGTGGTGGTTGTTGTGGTGGTGGTAGAGGTGGTGGTGGTTGTTGTGGTGGTGGCGGTAGAGGTGGTTGTAGTGGTAGAGGTGGTTGTTGTGGTGGTGGTGGTGGAAGCGGTGGTGGTGGTGGTTACGCACGCGCAGAACTTCGCTGTACATGGGCTCCAGGGTTTTCTTTTTCACCATCGTCTTGCGTTTGCTCTGCCGCGATTTGTCTGGCAGGAGGTAAATCTTCACGTAGCTGTTGGCAAGGGGGGAGTGGGAAGAGGCATCTCATTGTTCCTCTTGTTGTGGCTTACCCAGGCACACAGTCTCGCCGAGTCTCAAGACTCTTTTTCATGAGGGTCCAGCCAAACGTGATTCTAGTAAGCAGACTGCTCCACTCAGCTACCCCGACACAACCACGTGTACTCTGGTGGAGCAAGCGGACTGCTCCACTCAGCTAACACAACACAACCACGTGCACTCTGGTGGAGCAAGCAGATTGCTCCACTCAGCTACCCCAATACAACCACGTGTACCCTGGTGGAGCAAGCGGACTAGGACTGCTCCACGCAGCCACCACCCCGGATGCCGTGGAATGGCTCACATTAGCCACACGACCATAGCCCCGCTGACTCCATGAAAACACCAGGGCACCCCGCCCCAATCAGTGTTTGGAGAACAGTATAATCATTATATTTATTCACTGCTCCTATGAAATTAATGTTTATTTTATTCAGCAATGAGTACCGTTATTGTGATTTTGCTCATTTGGTCGTGGTGATGGTGGTGGCAGTGGCGGTAGTGGCAGTGGTCGTGGCGCGGTAGTTACAGTGGTGGTAGTGGTGGTAGTGGTGGCGGTAGTGGTGGTGGCTGTGACAGTGGTGGCGGTGGCATTGGCGGTGGTGGTGGTGATGTAGGTGGTGGTGTTGGTGCTCACGGGTCGGAGCGGTTCTTCTTGCCGTGTGCGGCTGCAAGGCCACGGCAGCGGTTCACGTGGACAAGCAGCTCGCCGCGGCGGTCCTCGTAGGAGAGCGAGAACTCCACCTCGCCCGTCACGCTCACGCTCCCAAAGTCGCCCGCCTCGCTGTACAGGCTCATCATGCTGCTGCTCACCTGCACACCGCGTGCGCACCGCACACGATCTCAGCATCATCGTCATTATTAATTATAATTCGTTATTTTCATGCTGTGGTTAATGATGTGTGATGATGACGCTGACACCGCAGTATGAACGTGGGAGCCCTGCCAGATTCGAACCACGAACCTCTGCGACGAGCGGCCGATCGCGCTACTGCCGGTTCAGAGAAGGCGGCGACCTCATTCACACCCCGCGTCACACCCCGCCTCACACCCCGCCTCACACCCCGCCTCACACCCCGCCTCACACCCCGCGTCACACCCCGCGCGTCTCACCGACGCTGACGACGACGTGAAGCTGGACACGGTGTGGCTCGTCACGGTGCTGCCGGTCTTCCGGTGAAGTCGGAAGTTGAAGTTCTCCGTCATGGAGTCGGTCTCGTCGTCCTTTTCACTCTGGGAACGAACACACAATCACCGTCGTCACCATCAGCCTCCCCCACGCCGCCGTCGCCACCTCCCATCTTCACCGCTCCATCTCCGTGGGGGGCGTCCGCTAGGCCGCCACTCCGTCGTCACGGCCAGCGGCGCGCGTCCGGTCGTTTTAAACGTGCGTGGCGTTGTCTCGTCCACGAGCTTCGTGACCGGCATACACCGCCGTGACATCACACCGGTGTGCCGCCGTGGCAAAGCACCTGGTGTGACGCGATATTTTGGGAGTTACACAGGCAAGGCAGAAATCTCGCCGTTCACTCGGACAGACGGACAGATGGTCGGACGTACGATCTCTCCCCCATGCCACTCAGGGTCCAACCCAGTACCAAGATGCCGATGCACGATCGCTGACTCTTTTCCAACGGCGTTGCCGGGACACTGACGTTCGCCGCTGCATAACAGCAGATAGCAGATGTAGGGGTTTGCGGTTAACGTAGCTGCTGCAAGAACCACTCGGCTACATTTAGCACATCCCAATATTCGTTTGCCACATTGCACGCTGGGCATTTGTTCGCGAGTTCTCATTTGGGAAGACAAGTTTCAGCCGTTCCCAACGAGTCTTACCTCGTCCGATGCCAACAGATCTGGCACAGATCGACTCAAATTCACCGATTCCGCAGGCTCCTGGTCTTGGCCGTTACCTGAAATGCAAAATAACGAGACGCTTATATTACCGTCATCATCATCGTCGCTGCCGTCATCGTTATCATAATCATCATCATCGTTGTTATCATCGTCATCATTGTCATCATTGTCGCTGTCATCATCATCATCGTTGCTGTCGTCGTCATTATCAGTCATCATCATCATCGTCTTCATTGTCATAGTCATCATGATCGTCATCATCATCGTCGCTGCCATCATCATCGTCATCAGTCATCGTCATTGTTGGCCATGGTCAATCCACTGCTGGATGAAGGCCGCGCATCGCGTTTCAGCTTTCATTCCGCTCTGTTTTGCGCACGGCCACGTTCCTCGCACGGCTGCCGACGTATCTGCGTGTGTGTGCGAGCATGCGCGTTGAACTTCTTTCGCACCGCACGTAGCCAACCGCGCTGATCGTGTGCGTGCCGAGCGCCGTGCTCACCCGTGGCGGCCGACAGGTCCTCCACGCTACGCGTCAGCAGCTGCTTGTTGTTGGTGTTGCTCTTGTTCGCCCGAGCGAGCATCCTCGCGACCGGGCTCATGCCGTTCCCTGCGGCATAACGCACGCAACGGACGCGGCGTCAACTCGAGGCTAAGCTCACACAGATACTCAACACAGGCTGTGGCAAGCGGACGCGTCTCGATAGGGGTCGCCGCCGGAGCACGGCCACGAAGCCACAGGGTGCCTTGCGCGATCCGGGATTGTGCACGTCGGGAAGCTCTCGGCTCCACCGAGACGCCGGCGCAGTGGACACAGCGGCGGCGTGAACGGCCGTCGAGAAACTCACAGCGGCGGTGGCTTTTGGCTGACCACCATCGCGAGCACTTTCGGATGCGCTTCCGTGGCTGTCTGGAACGCTCTTCCCTTCCGAATGTTGGGAAGCCACTTGAGGGCCATGCACTTTTAAATCATCGAGATTTACAAACTAATTTCTTTAGAGCTGCTTTTTTTGTTTAGTTTGTTGTCCTTCCCGCGCACCTCCGATTAGCACGGTTGGCTACGTATGGTGCGAAAGAAGTTCAACACACACAAACATAAACAGACCCATAGACTCACGCAGAGACCCATAGATTCACGCAGAGACCCATAGACTCACGCAGAGACCCATAGACACAGAGACCCATAGTTTGTTGTCCTTCCCCCGCACCTCCAATGAACACGGTTGGCTACATACGGTGCGAAAGAAGTTCAACATACACGGTACATATGTAACGGGTTCCGGAGACACTTGTAGAGGTAACTCCTTTATTACAATACAACACTCCAACAGTCCTTATACTCTGTTACAGCCTAGGTACACAGCCTAGGTACACAGCCTAGATACTCTACTCTGGCTACGCTCTGGAACTCGCCCTCACAAGGTCGTCGAGTCGGGAGTTCCAGAGTCCCACCACTGGCTCTCACATCGTCCCAGGGTCCTCAGATGGCTGGTCTTGGGTCTTGGGTCTTGAGCTACGACTGGCCCCGATCGTCCAGGGAGCTCCGCTTTTATAACTAGTCCCCAACGAGGGGTGGGGCCGTGTGCGCCCCCAGATCTCCCACAGAGGACACACAGCCCCCCCCTTTGGCGGCGCCAAGGGGATTAAGCGCCTGAGAACCCAACGCCTGGTGCCAAGGGGCTTAAGCATCTGGACCCGCCCGGGAACCCAACGCCTGGTGCCAAGAGGCTTAAGCGTCTGGCCCACCCAGGGTCCCAGAGCCCCCAGCAGCCCCTCCCCTTCAATGTCACTACATTACCCTCCTCTATGTAGCCTCCAGCCGTCCCGGCTGTCAATAATTAGAAAGTTTAAATTAACGAAAGAGAGCGAGAGAAAAAAAAATACGCGAGCCTCAACAGGAACAAGAAAGCAACCATAAATACCATAACCAACCTGTACAACTTTACACTATATACAAGCATCAATCAACAAATATACAGATTCCGACGCGTTGGATGCACAACCACCGCATGGATGGCAGGGTTCCACACCACCCTGCCAGCCTCCCATCCGTCAGGTGGAGAGAAGGTGAAGACCAACATGTCGAGCATCCCTCTACACACACTAATCCGGACGTCTGTCTACGTCCCGGGTCGAGAAGTCGTACTTCAGGGCCGACCCATGTACTGGGCAAAGAAGTCGCACTTCAGGGCTGCTCCAGTATCTACATTTTTAAATATATATATAAAATTTACATGACACAAACAAAATAAATCTGCCTGCTCCTGCCCAGAAATGGTGGCCGCACGCGCAAACCGCATCTCCAAAAGGCATCCCGTGCTTGCGTCCCAGCAGCCCTCAATGAGGACCACCACCGACATTACATGTCAACCGTTAGCACCCCCCGCCTTTCCAACGTGGCGTCTCCATCCTAAAACCGCGCACGTCGGCCATATCGGGGGGCTTCAACCCAGTCTCTCTCCAAGACTCGCATCGCAGCATATAGCTGTACCGACAGAGCTGAGACGACCCAGTCTCTCTCCAAGACTCGCATCGCAGCATATAGCTGTACCGACCGAGCTGAGACCCAATCTCTCTCCAAGACTCGCATCGCAGCATATAGCTGTACCGACCGAGCTGAGACCCAATCTCTCTCCAAGACCCGCATCGCAGCATATAGCTGTACCGACTAAGCTGAGACGACCCATCGTTCACTCCCTGCACAACATGCACCCTAACAACTGAGGGATACAGTCCCAACGTAACGGGACAACTACACCTGAACACCACGAATCTCCAGCCCACTGTTTCAATGCGCCTCGGAGTGTTTCAATCTCCGGGCCATGTGAGCGCACAGCCCACTAGGCTAGACATGCCACGGAGTGTTTCAATCTCCGGGCTGTCAGGTCAAGCCGTCAGCCATAGCATGACGGGACCACACCTCTCGTGTTAGACACGCAACACCCGCTGGCCTATCCTGGTCAGGATCTGCACCCCAAGATATTTGAGAGCCAGCCTGACAATTCCAAATCCTTGGCAGCATGTCATCATCTCAAGATAAATGCCCCATACAGTCTATACATCGTTAACAATGACAGCACAAGCTATACATTAACAATCACGAACAAAGCTCAATACAAACCATACATTGTTAACAATCACAAGCAAAGTTTCGCACACACATTGACAACACTCACGAGCGAAGCTCCACACAGTTTACCCAACAACAGTCACGACTCCCCGACGACAACGAAGAAAATGTCAACAACAAAAATAATTAATCCGGAGCGCGTAAATGTACAAAATGTCAGGGGCCTGGTCTCCCGACCTCCAACCTTTGGCCAGAGCAGCAAAGGCGGCGACCAGCGTGTCGGTCGATGTGCCGGCCCCGGCGCCGGTTACAGTAAGAATGGCGCCCTCACTGTCCGGTCGCAGCGCTGATGACGCGGTATGCTAGGTTGAAGCCAGCTGTCGTCCGGCAGTGAAGGTCGCAGCGCTGATGATGCGGCGTTGCTAGGTTGCAGACAGCTGTCACCCGGCGGTGAGGGACGCAGCGCTGATGACGCGGCGTCATTTAGTTGGCCCAAGCTGGGCCCGGAAGTGACGTCGCTCCCAGCGGTCATTGCTCCCCCGGCAGAAGTGACGACACACCCGGATGTATTTGCGGCGGGAACGGCTGCCATCTTTGTGTGGGAGCCGGCGGAATGGCGCGGCCGCTGCGCCGCCTCTCTCCCTCCTGTCTCTGCCTGTGAGCGACGCATGTCGTCCAGGATGGAGACGGTGGCGTGGAGCAGCTCGGTGAGGCGAAGCAGCGTTTCCTCCATTGCTGCTCCCGACGCTGGAGGAGGATCGGCAGGTGTGGTGGACGACTGCTCAGCCGGCGGTGCGGCGTCGTTGTCGGCCCGAGTTGGCTGCCCCGTCGCCGCTTGCTCTTCAACATCGCCGTCAGGACTGAAGGTACCTGGCTCACTTCTTGTCTCCATTGCCACTTCTGACACGAAATGTAACGGGTTCCAGAGACACTTGTAGAGGTAACTCCTTTATTACAATACAACACTCCAATAGTCCTGATACTCTGTTACAGCCTAGGTACACAGCCTAGGTACACAGCCTAGATACTCTACTCTGGCTACGCTCTGGAACTCGCCCTCACAAGGTCGTCGAGTCTGGAGTTCCAGAGTCCCACCACGGCTCTCACATCGTCCCAGGGTCCTCAGATGGCTGGTCTTGGGTCTTGGGTCTTGAGCTACGACTGGGCCCGATCGTCCAGGGAGCTCCGCTTTTATAACTAGTCCCCAACGAGAGGTGGGGCCGTGTGCGCCCCCAGATCTCCCACAGAGCACACACAGCCCCCCCCTTTGGCGGTGCCAAGGGGATTAAGCGCCTGAGAACCCAACGCCTGGTGCCAAGGGGCTTAAGCGTCTGGACCCGCCCGGGAACCCAACGCCTGGTGCCAAGAGGCTTAAGCGTCTGGCCCACCCAGGGTCCCAGAGCCCCCAGCAGCTCCTCCCCTCCCATGTCACTACACATACTAAAGCTCAACAAGGCCTCCGTGGAGACACCGGGACACTCCGCGGGGCCCCAGCCAATGTTTGGGGGGGGGAGGGGGGTGGTGTAATAACGACGTTCCGTTAACTCCGTCTAACAAAGTCAACGGTTATTTCGGCCGGCAGCGTTGTTTCTTACCGACGCTCGCCCTGCCCGGCAAAGCCTCGGCCAGTCTCAAAGATTCGTCATTAGCGAGATGTCCTGTGAGGTTTTCACAGCAGGGGGCGCGGTGTTTGCTGCTGTGCTAGTGCGATCCCAGTTGAGCAAGTTTGCAGATCATCTCTCGGCATTGTGATGTGGTTTGGGGCTCCACGGTGGCTAGGAGATGTTAACTATCTCGCCTGGTATACAGGAGGTCGTAGGTTCGATCCCAACCATGACGCCTGTTTTGGATTTGGAGTTTACGGTCTCTTTCCCCCCATTTAGATTCAACGTGCGTTTAACTGCTATAAATTTGTGATAAGCCGCTTCATTGTGCTATCATTTGTGATAGCCAGGTCGCTTCTGAAAACGAGCTACACAGCTCAATGGGGCCTTACCTGGTAAAATGGTTTAGTCAAATGGTTTTGAGATGTTTTTTTGGTTTGTGATAGGATGAAACTGGAGAATCCGGAGGAAAACCTATGCTGAACAGGGGGAAGAAAATACAAACTCCACACTCAACGGTCCATTTCACAGACTGTTGGGACAAGTGCTGTTATAGTGAGCACCTATGAAGCCTGCTGGCACGGCACACGAGGGGGTGGGTGAACCAGGCTGAGTCCGACCTCGGGCTAGGCGCAGGACCGGGTCAGACATTTGTCACCGATGTTAGATGAGCGTGGGAATTAAACTTGGCTCCCTCGCACTCACTCTGCAGAACTGGTGGAGAACTGGCGGAGAACTGGTGGAGAACGTGCACGTACCACACAGGAAGGTGCCGGGAGTTGGGATTTAAACCCGGGTCATTGTCTCATTCAGTGCCACATTGCCACCCCGGTCAAGCCACAGTGCCGCGCCGGTCACCGACACATTCAATACCATGATGCCACCCTGCCGCCCCAATCACAGACTCATTCAGTACCATGGTGACACCCTGCCGCCCCAGTCACGCCACGGTGCTACCCCAGTCACTGACTCATTCGCTCGGTCAGCCTCACCGGACACCTCGACCGGTCCACTCACCCATGACGGCGCTGCCAATGTCCAGGGTGCCCGCTCTCGGCATGCATCCCGGCCTCCCCGGCGCTGCCAGGTCGTCGTCATTATCCGACGCATCTCCAGGCAATCTGTGGTGGTTGGCAACTTCTTCAAAAAACATCACATTTCTCTCGGCACGAGCGAGGGGGCTGCGCCAGTAGCGTCGTAACGAAATCATCAGTGGCATAGTTGCTACATTATCAGTGGCGTAGTAACTACATTATCAGTGGCGTAGTAACTACATTATCAGTGGAGTAGTAACTACATTATCAGTGGCGTAGTAACTACATTATCAGTGGCGTAGTAGCTACATTATCAGTGGCGTAGTAACTACATTATCAGTGGTGTAGTAACTACATTATCAGTGGCGTAGTAGCTACATTATCAGTGGCGTAGTAACTACATTATCAGTGGCGTAGTAGCTACATTATCAGTGGCGTAGTAACTACATTATCAGTGGCGTATTAGCTAAATTATCAGTGGCGTAGTAACTACATTATCAGTGGCGTAACTACATTATCAGTGTTGTAGTGACTACATTATCAGTGGTGTAGTAACTACATTATCAGTGGCGTAGTAACTACATTATCAGTGGTGTAGTAACTACATTTTCAGTGGCGTAGTAATTACATTATCAGTGGCGTAGTAACGAAATCATCAGTGGTGTAGTAACTACATTATCAGTGGCGTAGTAACTACATTATCAGTGGTGTAGTAACTGCATTATCAGTGGTGTAGTAACTACATTATCAGTGGTGTAGTAACTACATTATCAGTGGCGTGGTAACTACATTATCAGTGGCGTGGTAACTACATTATCAGTGGCGTAGTAACTACATTATCAGTGGTGTAGTAACTACATTATCAGTGGCGTAGTAACTACATTATCAGTGGTGTAGTAACTACATTATCAGTGACGTAGTCACTAGATTATCAGTGGCATAGCAACTAGATTATCAGTGGCATAGCAACTATATTATCAGTGGCATAGTAACTATATTATCAGCGACGTAGTAACTACATTATCAGTGGCATAGTAACGACATTATCAGTGGCGTAGTAACTACATTATCAGTGGCGTAGTAACTACATTATCAGTGGTGTAGTAACTACATTATCAGTGGTGGAGTAACTACATTATCAGTGGTGTAGTGACTACATTATCAGTGGCGTAGTAACTACATTACCAGTGGCGTAGTAACTACATTATCAGTGACGTAGTAACTAGATTATCAGTGGCATAGCAACTATATTATCAGTGGCATAGTAACTATATTAACAGTGACGTAGTAACTACATTATCAGTGGCATAGTAACTACATTATCAGTGGCATAGTAACTACATCCTACAATAGGAATGTGGAATATCCACCAATTGGCTGTAGAGGGGCTGCAAATGAGATAAATCGGGGACAAGCGATAGCACTGCCTCAATGTGGCTGATGTGAGCAGCAGCGGCGGCACCAGCGGCGGCAACAGTGACAACAGCAGCAACACCAGCAGCAGTGACAACAGCAGCAGCAGCGGCGGTGGCGTTGGTGGCAGCGGAGTGGTGACGGGCGCTGTCGGTGTCCATGAGTCTCAACGTGGCCGCTCTTTACCTGGACGCAGGAGAAGCCTGCGGAGGAGTCTCCTTGGCGTTGCTCACCGTGATTTCCGGCACACGACGGCGGCGATCGCCGTGATCACGGCCACCATCGTGATTACGGCCACCATCGTCGTGATCACGGCCACCATCGTGATCGCCGCCGCCATCGTCGTGATCGCCGCCGCCGTCTCGGTCGTAACGGGCGACCTCGACGTCGTCACGACGTTCTGATCTCTTCCCCTGAGCGTCAATTGTCGCATCGCGCTCCTCAACGCTGCCGCCTGGTGAGGGTGCTCGACGAGGGTCGTGGGCCTGCCGCGAGACGGTGCTCCTCGCTGCATTGCTCGTCTTCGTCGCGCCGCCGCCCCTCACCGTACCATCCACCTCCTCCTCCACCTCCTCCTCTACCTCCTCCACCTCCTCCACTTCCTCCACCTCCTCCACCTCCTCCTCTACCTCCTCTACCTCCTCCACCTCCTCCACCTCCTCCACCACGTCCACCACCTCCACCACGTCCACCACCTCCACCTCTTTCTTCACTTCCTCCTCCACCTTCTTCTTCACCTCCTTCTTCACCTCCTTCTTCACCTCCTTCTTCACCTTCTTCTTCACCTCCTTCTTCACCTCATCCTCCTCCTCCACCTCCTCCACCTCCTCCTCCACCTCCTGCTCCACTTCCTCCTCCACCTTATTCACCTCCTTCTTCACCTCCTTCTTCACCTCCTTCTTCACCTCCTTCTTCACCTCCTTCTTCACCTCCTTCTTCACCTCCTTCTTCACCTCCTTCTTCACCTCCTCCACCTCCTCCTCCAACTCCACCTCCTCCTCCGAGACAAAATCTCCTCTCTCGTCTGGAGACATGGCACGCTTGCCTTTTGGAGAATTCCCGCTCCCGATGCTCGGCGCGTCCAGAATCGCTTTCGCCATCATCACTTCCACCTTGTCCAGGAGAGATTCGACGTTTTTGGAAATCAGCTTTGGCACGAGCGGAGCCGGCGCCGCCGCCGCTGTCCTACGTTTAACGTTCCGAACGACCGGCTCCCCGTCTTGCCCGAGCGCGCCCTCCCTCAGGGAGCCGGAAGGAGAATTCCCACCAAAGGCATCGCTCCGGATGCTCACGCTGGCCGGGCGTGCATCGTTGGCCGGACGCGCGTCACTGGCCGGACGCGCGTCATCATTGCTGTGGCGTGACCTGTGCTCCACCTCGTACTCGACTGCAGGTGATATCGCCTCAACCCTCAAGTCGCCTTTTTCTTCAAGCGTCTTGGCATGGGACTGCGATGATTTTGCTTTAGAATCCATGATCTCAGTCATTGTCTCGCTCTCCTTTATTCCCCTGGAATCACCTCGTGCCGGCAGTTTGGATTTTCGTTCTGCTTTCAAAGGCTCCTTTCGTGGATACTTTCTGGAATAATCATCATCATCGGCCACCACCACCTGCATTTCTTTCGGATAATTTTCCCCATTTCCTTCTTCTTCCACCGCTTCGTCAGCGGTGGAAGCCCAACGTGACCCACCTTCCCGACGCCTATCGTCTGCGTGTTTCGTTTCCCCGTTGTAATAATCTCCGTCCCTCTGCCGCGCCAGCGAAACACCGATGACGCCACCTTTTGGCGCCGCCTGCGGAGCCTTGGAGCGATGTTCATCTTCCTCCGCCGCCGCCCGCACTTTACGCACCTCTCGATGACAGTCGACCCGGGGTCGCGTCACGCCCTCCACTCGGCCGTCGTCTGTGCCATCGGGCTCTCCACTCCCTGTCGCCTCCGCCGCCGCCGGTGGTGGTCTCAGTTGACTGCTGGAGACGTCTCCTCCCGACGCTTCATCGCGAGGCCGACGAGGCCGCGGCACCGGGGCCGCCGGTTTCGGCGGCGTGACGGCGTCAGCGTCGTCCATTCTGCCGCCGGGCGGCGACGGCAGAGATTTGTTCAAATGGGGCGTCGCATCAGGGAACCGATGTGCGGCGTCGTCTTCGTCAGGACGTCCGACTATATCTTCCGCACGCATTTTGCTTTCGACGCGGCAAGGCTCGTCCGAGCGAGAATGGTCTTGCTGTTGTCTCGGAGAGGATCGATGCCTCTCGCTTGATGCTTGTCTGGTTTTCTCGCGGTGGCGCAGATCTGGTAACGCCGGCTCTGCTGGCGAGTGGCCACCCTCCTCCTCCTCCTTCAAACCCCCACGACTTAAGGAAGTTCCCGCAGCTTCATGGGGAGACTTCCCGCGTTCCCGGCGCGTGGGAACGCTGGGGGCGACGGTCCCCACGTCGGCATCCTCGCGATCCGCCGATGGCTTACTGGCGGCTCGCGGGCGATTGCGCTCGGAGTCGCCGCCTCCGTCGCCTGCGGCATTTGCTGAAGGATCAGAGGCGGCGGTAGAGCCTCGTTCATCGGAGCGACCGGGCGACAATTCGTCCCGACCAGTTTCGCGTTTCTTGAACGCCTCCGACTTTGCTGCCGCCTGTGCGAGCGGTGGATGTTTGTCTCTGACAGGAAGCTGTCCGCCAGAAGGTGGTCGACTCGGCTGAATTTTTTCTCCCTCTTTGCGGCTTGCCCCTGTCCAATGTTTTTGCGGAGTCTTCCCGTCGTTGCTCTCTGGAAGTTTGGCGGCGGCGGCGGTGGCGGCCCGCGGTGATGGTGCCGACGTCCTGGATGCTTCTGACGAAGGCCGTGATGGTGGCGGAGACAAGCGCGGTCTGGTCTCGCGTGGAGGGACCTCGCCGGCGTCATCTTCCGAGAAACTGGACGCTCCGATTCCGTCAAACGGATTGCTTCTCATCTACAAGCCAGACGTCGCAGTCACCACACACGCAGGACAGACCAACCTCAAGGTCATTGTTGCTCAACCGACCGGCGGCCCCGTTACTCGTCTGACACATCGACGTGGTCGGGAAGGCAAATGAAGATATGCGAAGGCGATAATTTGCGTTTGCACATCCACTGCTAGATGAAGGCCTCTCAACGCTACATGAGCTGATTCTGCCACTCCATCTCCGGAGCGGACGAAAAAACCACCATCGCTTCCGATGATTCGGCCCTGCCCAGGTGTAGCTCGCCCTCAAGCCGACGAGATACCTCCGCTCCACGCCGGTTCTGTGGCCGCGTACGTGTCCCTCCCGCCATCAGCCGCGGTTGCCAGCACGCTTCTCTCAGTGACGTGCGGCCAACGTGGCATGATCACCGGAATGTTACTGCTCATTATCAAATTTAATTTTCCCAAAAACCTCCTCCCCCCCCCCCCTCTTGCCCTACTCTCACCTCGCCTACAGGTGCCCTGGGGGCATCCTCCCTCCATTATTTCCGTCTGTTCAGGGAACCTGTTTTCTGCACGGACTCCGTGTTGCTCCTCTCTACCAGCAGCCTTCCCCCTGCCAAGTTCCTTCGATCGCTCCCCACACCTCGTCACCATCACACCACCTCATCACCTCACCTTTTCACCCCAATCTATATATATAAAAGTAAAAAAATTTGAGTTTGTGGGTTTGTTTGTGGTCGCTCGCTTGGCTCTCCAACGGTGGGGTTTGTGAAAAGAAAATAGCCAGGCTCCACGCCATAAGCCCCGCGGTCAACAAGCGCTATTCCTTTTTCACACCCGTGAACTTTCAATTAGTTTAATTGAAGATTTAGTGCGATTTTTTTGCGCTAAAATATTATTTAATTACTTATGACGCATGCACGACCATACCAACTCACGCGCCTTTGGTGGGGGAGACGGCCCATACCAAGTCGCACGCCTTCGGTGGGAGTGAGGGGGACTTTTTCTTTCGTGTTTAAATGCTATAAACGCTCAAGTAAATTCTTCACTGAGTGATGTCCCCCCCACCCCGATACGTGCAGTTACTCATATATACAGTCACTAGATGCTAGCACTATTGGCTGTAGACCTTTTATTTATTTATCTATTTATCACGCGCACACGACCATACCAACTCACGCGCCTTTGGTTGGGGGGGGGCGACCCATGCCAAGTCGCGCGCCCTCGGTGGGAGTGAGGGGACATTTTCTTTAGCGTTAAAATGCTATAAAAAGACACTAAACGCTCAGGTAAATTCTTCACTGTGTGATGTCCCCCCCACCCCGGTGTGTGCAGTTATTACTGCTATACAGTCGCTAGATGCTATCACTATAGGCCGTAGATATTACTGCAGAGTGGCCAGAGAGATCGTGGCTGGGGGGTGGGAGTGTCAGGGGTAACAGCCCAGCCCCAGCCTGCCAAGGTGCCACCTCGGCCGGCTGGACAATCTAGGCGAGGCCGGAGGCTCTACACCGGACTAGGCCTCACCAAGCCACTCTGTCAAGTGTGTACTTTGTGCTATAGAGTCGATAAATACTGCCATAGAGTCAGCATGTACTACTGTAGTGATAGCAGGTACCACCAGTCGATATGCACTGCTGTAATCATAGCAGCTACCACCACAGTATGCACTGCTGTAATCATAGCAGGTACCACCATAGTATGCACACACTGCTGTTACATTTTCAAGAGGAGCTTTGAAATATTTTTAAGACCCGGGCAACGCCGGGTACTTCCTGCTAGTGTGATGAATAAAAAAACTTTTTTTTTTAATTTTACCATGTAAGGCCCCACACTCACGAAGCTATTGTAGCTCTATAGTAATAGGTTTTTACCCTTTCAACTGGTACAAAAAACTGACACCTTTATACAAGGTATCATGTTTGCAATAACCACAACACAAGCAGTCAAAATGCAATCAAAAAGAAAACAACTCTGATGATGATAATGATATGCACTGTCCTTGAAGTTGATTGGTCCACACCCGAGACAGCTTTTCTTAGAGCCTAGTCTCCATTGGTGTTGGACCAGATGACGCGTTTAAAAGCGACCTGGCCACAAAAGCATTGCGGTGATCTCACCGCCACTTGGCGGCAAACAGCTGTTGGGTGTTGTGAGAGGGGACGTGTGTAACGTCATAATGCTGTGGCCACCGGGGCGCCGACGCGCTTCGCCACACGTCGCCG